CCAAAACTAACTTCATTTGGTTCAACTGGCCAGAGGAGGAAGGGGTGACAGATGAACCCCTGCAACACACCTAATTCAAGAAGAAAGGTGTTTCATTTGCCCTGGCAATTCAGCAGCCACCAAAGTGACATTAAGTCTTGTTTCCCAATGAGTGGTTTGCATGAGATTTTTAATCTTTTTTTTTTAAGTCTTTGTGAGTTTCCTCCTTTCTTTGTATTATTATGAGATCACATCCCCATAAACATCCGGTCTGCAAGAGTAGAAATGTTTTTCAGGGGATTATTTGAAGTGTGATTGTGTTCAAATACACCAGCAGACTATGCCACTTTTTATTAGGTTTGTGTTGTTCTTAGCACATTTTCTCTGGCAAGAATACTCCTATTCCCAAAGCAGTTTTGAGCTGGGCCCTTTGAAAATGAAATATAGATCTTCTGGGTCACTATCCAGTAGATGTATTCATGGAAACTGCTCTTAGAGCCTCGGTGTCTTTGTCTGGAGTATGGGAATATGAATCTTGACTTTATAAGTGGTTATGAGAATCAAATTAGATAACAATGTTCCAGGACCCAGAAGATCCCATGGAACTTACTAGGCAGCTGACATATGTTCATTCCCTTTCAATTGTTTCACCTTGTCAGACATAAAAGCTTTAGGGACCAGAAATGCCATCTCTGTATAAAAAAGATAAAAGGGGATGGTAGGTAGAAGAAGAATGAAAACACCAAGAGTCAATGGGAGTGATTAGAAAGTCAAGTTCAACATCCTATGCTCAGTGATTGGTGTTGTATGAGAAATCATAAAGTCCATTGCAACATTACATGATCCCATGTGGGCAAGAGAGGGAGCAGAAATAGAGGGGCAAGCTATAGTGAGAGCAACTTCTAGGAGTGCACAGCTCCTCTCCTTCCTTCTTCCCATTCCTCCCTTCCTTCCTTCTCCCCCTAATTAGTGACCTAAGTAGATTAGAAGGCCACAGAGCCACAAATACTGCTCCCATAGTCTGAAGGCCTGAGTTCAGGCCTCGGCCTTGCCATCACTCACAGAATGGCCCTCACAGAGCTGGGGGAGAGGCAGACTCGCCACAAGGTTTACTGTTTCTCTGAGCAGAGCTGGAGTAGAGAAACTTAATGGTACACGTATTTTAGGGGTTAGGATATTTATTCATCTCATTTTAGATTGAAAAGTGGTACAACTTTGCAGAATTGAGTTTCCAGGTATTTAGTGTTTATTTTATTTGTTCCCATGTTCCAAAATATAGACTGATGAGTAAATTACAGATTCCTAGATCTTTTTATTTATTTAATGGAAAAGAATTTAGAACCCCTGCATCTACTATAATCTATGCTTCTCCTTAGCTGCATGAAGTATTCTGAACCCACCTATCGAGAAATTAAAAGTTAAATCTAATTTTATTAAAATGACTGACATACTGTATTATTAGCCTCTTTCTTAATAATAAGATATTGTAAAATGATTTCTGCTGAAATATCAATGTTTGCTGAGTTCAGTTTATTGTTTTTATTTAACAATTAAGAAATCAGACATAAAAGCATACTGAGCAAAAATGTATTGTCCAGGACATATACTACCTGCCAACATGTTATATCCTCATGGAGTCTTAGACTTGGAAGAGATTTTCAAAAGTTTAATTTTTTTTTTTTTTTTTGTAAATAAAATAAACAATCCCTTTACTTTTAAGCGTATTTTCCTAGAAGCTTGGAGCCATAATTATAATGCACAGCATTTAAACATCAATTATCAATCATGTTGTTATGTGTGATTGAATCAGTTCTGACTCATAGCAACCCTTTATAGGGTTTCCAAGGAGCAGCCGATGAGTTTGAACTGCCAACCTTGCAGTTTAAACCAACCTTGAGATCGAGTGCACACCAGAACTCCTGGATCATCTGTAATTGTCAAGCCTTTATTTACTTTATTAGTTGAGCAGCTTTCTTTTGTGGAAAGATAGGGGCTTTTTAATAATGTGGTGTCTTATATTTGTATGGCAATTTTGTCCAAAGATTTTTTTCATACCACAAAGATTTCAAACAAGACAGGACAAAGAATAAAAAGATGAAATTCCCTTTTCGTATTAGCCCGCACTCGGTTCACTGCCTTCCCCCAAAGTGACTGACTATTCTCAGTACAGTGTGTATCTTCCAGACCTTTGTGCAAGTACAAATATAAATATAATAAAACTGATAGTGATATAAAGGAAATATAATTGATATCAATATATACTTTTTAAATTGGCTTTATTATATTTGCTTCCGTATGTTAATAATGTATTATGAATGTTTTTCCATACAATATAGAGAGCAGAGAGCAGAGAATGTTTATTCTGCGTGC